TCAGCAGGTAGAGGACTGCACGTTCTGCGTCCGTCTGGGGGGACTCAGACTGCCCCTGTGGACCAGAAAAGCTTGTTAGCCATCCAGCGCACCACCTTCTGCTGCTGAGAAACATTCCCAAAGCAATTGCCTGAACACATGCATTTAGTTTTATTTCAATATTTACAGTGCAGCTTGGTGCTCATGAAGATACAGGATTATTGATAGGTTAGGATACAGGATTCCGACAGGATTAACTTGAAGGACTGGGTTTTATTTTTGGTGATTCATTTTTTCTGCTCACTGCACAGGGCAGAGCAGACAGTCACATCTTTTTTTCCACACTGCGTCTGAACAGTTCTTACAAAGTATGTCAAAAAAGGATTGTACCGTGGTTTGAAAAAAGTTTAAAAAAAAAAAAGGAAGAAGTTATTTTCTCCTTTTTTTGTTGGCAAATGTGTTCATTAAGGTTCTTAAATCATCCTGGGACTGTTTTTCACAGGTCTGGGTCAATATGTTTCTTGCCTTTTTCCCTCGCCTGTTCTCAATGCAGCCTCCCAGCTGGCAGCTGGCCTTTCTCTGTTCTCCCCTTATCGATCCCCACAAGGGCTGCCTTGACTGACAGGCACTTCTCAAAGGCTGCACACACATTCAGGTGGCACCCTGACATCAGCCAGCTACCCGGGACCCTAAAAAGTCAGCAAACTTTCTCAGCCATTACAGCAGTTTTCCAGACAGGTTTGATGAAATCCGCTGTGTCCCAGGCTTGGGCTGGGCCAGCCCCATGCTCCGCTGTGGGGATCTCCTTGGAGGAGCTGCAGGTCAGGGGGCTGACCCAACAGCTCGAGGCATCGTTTCCCTGATGGCTCTGGTGGGAGTGACTTGGGGTGCCTGCACATTGCATGCAGGCTGGTCTTGCTCCTGCCAGTGCCAAAGTCACCCCAGGTTTCCATCCAGCCACCTGGGCCCTGGGAATGGTCTCGCGCTGCAGCTCAGCAGCTGGAGGGGAGCAGAGCATGGCCAGTGAGTTCTGCAACAAAATCCATGGTACATTCTCAAACCTGTCACTTTAACTTAATGCTTTCACCATTTCATATCACCAAACTGAAACGGAGACGACTACAGAGTATCCTTGCTTCTCTTTGCCAGTTGTTTGCACTGCTAACCGACCCTCTGAGCAGAGACTGACGGAACATACCTTCAATTTGAACCAAGTGAGTCTTTGCTGGAATGTTTATCTGTAGCTCAAACAAATGCACACATAGAAAGCACACTGCCTGAGAACTACATACCTAAACTTCATTTACTTGATTTCCTCAACATTTCTTTCTTCCCTGTACCCTCCATGTGAACTAGCACTTGTGGCTTTAAAAAGAAAATCATATACCTATCTTTTAGAGTAATGGCCATGCAGACAGCTCATGACTCTTTTGAGGAATTTAATCACTTCCTATGCAGTAAGTTAAAGAAGTAAGAATACCATTGGAAAAGCATGAAGGATGGGTCTGATTACTACTTAGATCCATATCACATTAATTTGAGAATGAATCTGAAAAAGTTAGCATAAAGAGTTTAAGCACAACAATGCATTGAGATGAATTATGTTAAATTCATATTAAACTACAGCAAAAATCAGTCTTTGCTTTGGATGAGCTAGAAAATGCAGCACGTTTCATCTGTGGCTAAGTGACACAGTGGAAATATTTTCCTACAACAAAAAGAGTGTTTTTCTTATGTCAGAGCAGGTAAAAGAGAAGAACTTGTTACTGATGAGAACCAGATTCATGCATAGCACAAATAAAACATGAAAAATGTAACCAACATCTCGGTGTACATTAGTGTTAGCCGGGAGCATTGCAGAACTAGTAAGTTTTATGAAATGTTTATTCTTACAGAAACAAGTAAAATAAAACTGCAAGATGATACAGAGGCAAATCTTCCACCACTTCCATGCTTGATAACTGACTGATGGTTAACTTTGCGATAAAAAACATGTCTAGGGGTTTTGTCTTCTGCTGAAGTCAAATATGTTTTGTTGCAAGTTCTTTGAGGCAGAGGCTCTGTCCTTGTTGTGTCTTGTACAATATGCAGCACAGTCAAATCCAGGACTCAAAGGATTATCACAGCACCTTCACACTATAAAGGAGAGTAAAATGTCATGAGCTGTCAGTCTATGGGTGTGTGGGCGACTGAATCTAGTGGGTTTTAATTCATGAGCAGGGCAGGCTGGTCCTTTCTAGTGCAGGTCAGGAACTGTTGCTCAGGCTGGTGTGCCTGTCTCCTAAACAAAGCAATAAACTAATGCTCCTCTTGTCGAGAGCCTGGAGACAGGCAGCATTGCACTGCAGAGGTTGGTGGCTATGTAGCAAGGGAAACTGTGATACAATTACCAGGAAAGCCCCCAAAGCCAGGTAACCACCTAAGAAAGCAGCTCCTTTGTGGCTCCAGGAGCATGGCCAAGAATGAACCCTTTTTTGGCAGACTACAGCCTGGCAAGGAACTTGATCTGCGAGCAAGGAGGCTGCCTCCTGCTACTTGTTCTCGCTGCACCAATGAACACAGAAGCTGAGGAAAGTTCTTTACAGATCTGCAGGAGAGCACCCAAGAAAAAAATCTCTTTTATTTTTAATTTTCCTTCCTCATGAAAGCAACCTGCAATGGCCTTAAATTCTGGCTAACTGCTCAGGGGCAAAAAGGTTCAAGAGGAATACAGTTAGTCATATTCTCCTCTCTTGCAAACCTTGCTAAGAGTCATGCAACTCTTGTGAACACCTGTGATATGTAATGAAAGCACTTCAAAAGGATGCTGGAACCATTTCACAGAGAATAAATAGAATAATTTATTCTCCTTTTACAAGAAGGAGCTAGAACTGGTGTCTACAATGTTTTGCAGGATATAGTGGCGTATTATAAGTACTGTTAATGTTCCAGTCCTGTCAAAGGAGTCCCAAAGGTCCATCTGCCTACGCAGGACCCTGCAATTGCACAGTAATGTAATTGGCATGCCACTCTCCTCGGCTAATCCAGCAGCCCCTCATCACATGTACCTGTCATTTCTCTGTTAACATTCTCCTTGATTATCAGTTAATAGCTTACAGACAGAAAGCTGCAGCATTAATTACCATCACTACCCATTAGGGCAAACCAAACCAAAGCACTCAGACTACATAAAACCCAGAATACTATCTTCAACAATAATAACAAAATGTAATGTGAAATAAACTGCTAATTGTTTTTGAGCAGGTCTTCCTAGTAATTCAGTCAAAGGACTGACTCAGTTTTGTCATAGGAAAGTTGTACAGATTTCTGCGTGTCCTCGTTCCCATGATGCTTTCCTGGGTGAAGGGACTCAGGTTGGCAAGTTCAAAGGTCTGTGTTTTATACCCATGCTTGACAACTCCAGAGAGCCTGCCCTATGGAAAGCGAGGGTGGGACAGCCCCTCAGTGTGCATAATGAAACCTCTCTTTTCAAATGCTCGCTATCCATTGAAATGCCCCCGACTGACATTTCAAATAAATTGTTAAGAACAGGCCAACCAAAGTTATTGATTTTAAACCAAGCCAGCTATATGGGCCATAGCTACAGCTGTGCACTTCTTTGTTTAAAGGGAAATAACCATATTTGACCTTATTAGTCTGGTTCCTCTTCACCTCTGTGAACCTCCCCAGTGCATGGCAGCAAAGGACCCTCCTCGAGGAGAGTTTGTACTGCTTGCCACAGAGGCCAGACGTGATTTATTCAAATTCAGTTTGAAGGCAATACAATATATTCTCAGACATTCTTAACTTAGCATTTTAAAGGAGTAGCTTGAAGTTTGATTACTGATCTGCCTTACATGTTTGTTTGTTTGGGTTTTTTTCTGGCTATTAG